AGTGTGTGTGTGTGTGTGTGTGTGTGTGCACGCGTGCGAATGTTAATTAATGTGTGAAGATTCCCTCTAGTTTATGCTTGTTGGCTCGGATGTGTCTTTGTAACAGGACGAGGCTTTGGGATAACCAACCTTCGTAACATTGCCACGGTCTCGCTGTCCTGCTCCAGGACGCCCAGTTTCATTACGTCTCCCCTCCTGCCTAAAAATGTTTTGCTTTGTTATATATCTACCTGTTGTAGACACAGACCCGTCAATCTGCATTATATAGCTGATATCATACTGGACGTTTCAACAGCAACAACAGCAACAACAGCAACAACACCAACACCTCCACCACCACCACCACCACCAACAACAACAACAACCGCAACAACCACAACAACAACAAAGTAGACTTCCAAACTCGCAGTACGTTGCATCCGCCTCCGAAATAACTTTTTTATGTCAAGAAGGGAGATTCTGATAAAGAAGTAACCCTCCCCTCACCCCCACCACCTCTCCACACCCTCACCCCCAACCCCGCCTTCCAGCACCCTCCCCCGGTCTCACCAATTATAATACCTGCGGTCTTGCTTCAGCCAAAACGAATTGCGGGAATCCATCTTCTGATGAGTCTCCTGCTTGGGTCGGGTGCGGGTTTTTTTTTTTTTAAAGAGCCCCAGAATTTGTCTGTCTAGACGCATGCTAACCCAGAATTCGAAGTACATAAAGCAAGTAGAAAGGAGCCAATAAATGCTCTAATAAAAGCCAAATGTACTTCGTTGGGGTCTCAGAGGTCAGTTATAGAAGCACAAAGTGGAAATTCTAATCCTTAGTCTGCAACGTCTGTAATTATTCAAAATCACCCCCCACAGACAGGTATTTATTACTTTGCATTGTTTATTTTTCCAACTCTCTCAATGTCTATTTATTTTGACTGCAGGATGTTTAAATGTAAGCCGTTAGTGAATGATATAATCTAAAAAAGAAGAATTTTTATTTAGCTTAATTTGCTTCTAGTTTATAGAGATAAAACAAAACAGAACAACTCCCCAACCCCCCCC